TTTCCCTATAGCTGGGAGTACAATGACTTGTATTGAAACAGTGCTAAACTGCCAGATGATCCACCAGTTGTTTGTTGGGGTCAAATTACAGGGACAAAACTAGGAGGAGGTGAGAACAGGATTAGCAAGAGGTTCCTGATCCAATTCTATCCTAAATTGCAAAGATGTAAGACATGCGGTGGACAGAAATACAGAAAATCCCAGTATTACAACAATACTTTTAGCTCCTATTTCCTCACCAGTTTTGGATGTATTGTATTTAAAAATTGTTGAAAAGTACCTAAACCAACTATATAATTCATGGTTAAACTCTGGTTTCTTTTAATTTTGTCCAACAGGTGATGATTGAGGGCCCATCCCCTACAGTCATTTATTTTGGGGGGCTTGGAGAATCCTTAAACTTCAAGATGGGATAACTTTATGGCTTATTAGATCTGGAATCCACAAAGGACATGCAAACATAAATTTCTTGTCAAGAAAAAGAAATACTAGGGTATTTAGTTGGATATGAGATAGGACAATTTTCAAGCATAATGTAGATGGGGTAAGTACTTCTGTCCCAGAAGTATCTGTGTCCCAGCAAAGACCTAGAGATCAGATTGCTAGTCTGCAGCCCAGGCTTGGGTGTCAGTGGCTGGTAACAAGTTGCAGAACACAAGATTACTGGATAACTGATGCTGGCCTGCCTGCTGAGACATAGGCACTGAGTAACAGCTGCAGCTCAGACAAAGGGCTGTCTGGCCAAACACACTGCTGCTTGACAGCAGTAAATGTTTCAAGGAAGACCAGAGAATGGGGCTTGCACAGTGCTGTGTGCTTCATTTTCCTATATGCTCCTGCAGATTCCCAGTATCTGCATGTTGGTACTCACAGAGGCAAAAGCTCTCATCTGTGTGTTTTAACAGTCCCACTGCAAATGTAACTTAAAGGTTAGCTTAATGCACTATGGCTCTGTGGTGCATTTGTGCAGTGCTGGAACCATTCATTGCCCATTATTATTCCCTGGCTACACACAGATAGCATACACTGCACAGAACAGAGCTACCAAGGGGGAACAAAACTACTTCCAAGCACCAGTTTGGAGCCAAGAAATCACTGCACCTGTTGGAGGAATCTATAAGAAAGTCTCATTACTCCTTGCTCTTAGACTAATCCTGAAACTAAAAAAACACAGTCAGAGAGTCAGGCAGATGTTACCTGGAGTGTCTGCCCAGCCAGGGTGCATAACAGAGAAATGGATGTTTCTGTGAGCTTTTGCCCATTGTTCTGTCAAGACAACTTGCTGTCTCTAGGATAGAGCAAAAAGAGACAGACTAGCCTCAAGTTCAATAGCCTGTCCACCAAGTTAGTTCCCAGGGAAATTAACTACACCAAATAAGCTATAAATACCAGGACATTTATGTATAGCAGAAAATAATCTTGCTCATCCTGACTGGATTTATTGGATAATTTTGTCAGAGATCACCACGGACATTGCAATCCATATCCTGGCCACAAGTCTACTTTTAAAATGGCTCTGCTGCTCTTACTGACCACATCTACTTGCTGCAGACTATAGGCAACAATGAAGCAGGCAGAAATTGTTTGTCAGCTAAAGACAGTTTTCCCCCCTGAGACTTAGATCAAATCAAAAGAAAGTCCAGCCACGCTCTCCACACAAGATGGTATGCACTTGTAAGTGCATGCCATCATACTCCTGAAGATTATAGCTCTGTATTGGTTGCATGCAATGGGAAAACAACACTGAACAACAGGCTTTTTACAAAGCAAGTGGTACAAACTGCCCAGCAAATAAGTGCTGGGCTGTTTTCAAAACCATGACTGTACCTTGTTTTGTGCATACACCATAGTTCCATCGAATGTCCCATTTCCTGACTGCAAGTCAGATATGTTTAATTTTTGAACTAGCATGCCCCCAGAAGAGACAGTTATCTGTAATCAAATGAATGAAAACTAAATGAATGAAAAGCAACACCAGGAACTCCCCACAAACACTCTCATGCATGCAATATGGACTTCAGGCCACAATTTGAAGTCCCTAGGAGCAGGATTCCTCTGCATACTCTTTGCACTGTGCTTGTGCTCATGTCTGGACTGTACCTGGTGATGAGTTGGAAGAAAATTTTTTTAGAAAGTGATTTTCATTCAAAGTGGTGTCGACTCCATCAGGGAACTTTGTGCTTCTTCCTTTTAAAAAGTAATAGGGAGATAGAAAAAAGCCAAACAGCACTATTTGTAGTTTATATGTTTAGCATTTAAAGAAACTAATTCAGAAAAAAAAAAGAAAAAAGAGAGGCATTGTACAAAACTTGGGAAATCTCTTTTTAAAAATATACCAGCTACCCTGTTTTACACCAAGACCTGTGAGGTTTTTTTACACTTATACTCCTGTCATAGGTATTTTGCACTATGACAAAAGAGATAACTTACCCCAGGAAAGGAAAAGGGGAGTTTTCCAAATTAATTGCTTTATTCTGCTTTCTAATGAAAGGTTGAGAGCAGCAGGCAAGAGTTTTGCCTTGGAGAAGGAGGTCACTGTTAGCAAAATCCAAGAGGATTCTAGAGATGCTTACAGTGTTCTATCTAACTAATCCTGAATTGCTAGCACAGTCAAATAAATGCTGTCACAAACCAGAAGGTAAGAATAGTAAAACACCACTTTTCCACAGCATCGCAGACTCACCACTCTGGGATCAGCTTCTTTTTCCAGGAGGGGCAGCAGGGCAGTTGTCAGAATGTATGTACCTACAAGACAAGACAGACACCAACATAACGTTCCTTTTTAAAAAAACTTTCTTCTCTCTCCACTCCCTAGAACACCATCACTTTAGTTCTGAAACTTCATCTGAACTTAGAGATTTTATTGCTGCTTTACCTGCAATGATCCTATTCAACTTCCAGTGGTCTGCATTGCTGCAAACTTCTCAAACGGCACATCAGTTATTTTATAGACCTATAGAACAAACTGTTCACTACATTCCAGTCATGACTGTAAAAGCAAAATGGCTCAGATACAGATTTCCTTGTGGGTTAGGTGATGCCAGTGAAGAAGCAGAGAATGTATTTTCCCTCCATGTGTGGTATTTATGTATATTGAGGCCAGGTCATGAATGACAGAAGGAAACTATGCTTCACACTTGTTTCCTAGCCCTTTGCATAAGCACTTAGGACTTATCCATTTTTTGCCTTCTCACTGCAAAACCATTCAGAGTGATCCAACACTTCTGATTTGTGTTGCACATAAATAAATCCCCAACACGACTGTTACAGAAGACAAGGAACCCTTGGGAGGGGGAAATACTAATGCTGCATGCCCAAGGCTGAGCTAACATTACTTGAGGTAACTTCAGTGTGGCTGTCCCCACTTTAATTGTGTTCATTTGGCACAGATTTTTGTACAAACCACACAAATATATTCCATTACAGCTGTTACCATGACCAGCAAAGTTTGTTATTCAAAACATTATTCAACATTCATCAGCTACTGTGTTTGATTCAGACACACCTAGAGATGTTTCATCTGCTTAAGTGCAACATAGGGTTTTTATCAGAGATATTTAAATTTTTTTTTCCCTTTAAACTATATTTTATTTTTAAATCTGTTTAATTCAAACTTAATCTAGCTTTATTTATCCTAGTGCTTCTGCATCAAGTATAATATTTCTCTCTCACTTCTTTACAAAGGGTTCTAGTTCAACAGTTTTATGTCTGTGATACATGTATTTTTTTCCATGAGCTACCAAGGCCATGTTTTTCACTAGACATGAAGACTTCAGCATGTGTCTTTATAACCTCTCTTCCACAGAGGCAATGAGATCACCCAGTTACAACACAGCATGTTTATAAATATGCTACCAAAGTAAAATGTGTAGCATGCTTGGTGAACAAACTGTTCAGTTCTTCCGTCAGTCACAACAACCTTCATAATCAGAGGGATGTCCATATGCACACAATGTATTTAAAATCCTGGTAAATCAAACAAAGCAAACGTGGAGGAGATGACTAAATGCAGCCTGTCTTTAGCAGAAAATGCAAGCAAAGCCAGTTGCTAGTGAATAATGAGAGCCCATATGTCTCCCCTGGTAGTGGCGGGGAGACTGAAGGATGACATCATTAGGACAAGAACTACTGCTGATTGTCATGGGAGGCTGTGCCGTGGTGGCAAAGAAAATAAATCTCTTCAGTACAAGCTAAGAGCCTGGATTCAATTTTGATTTGCTATGGATTCTTCAAATGCAAAGTAACATCATGTCTTGGCTAAATAGCTGCTTCTCCTAAAGGCAGAGCTGCAATGCACCAGCTATCACAATGCTTCGTTTTACTGTCCTGCAAACTAAATTACACTTTTAAGGGGCTTCAATGTTCATTTTTTAATTCTAAAGGGATGAAAACACGAACGCATTAACATCATCTTATTAACAGCTGAGGTTTGGTTTGGTTTCCAGCTGGATGAGAGAAATGTTCAATGCCTAAAATCCTGCTTATAGCAACTACAGTTTGTCAGAAGTTTATGTGCTTATTTAAAACCACAAACTAATGGCAAAGACAGTGTCTCCTCTCTTCCTCAAGTTTATAAGAATTCAGTAAATCCCACCAAGCCACAGCCTTCCCTCTTTTTTGCCTCACAAAACCACTTGCTCATTTGTTTTGAGACAGAGCACAAAAAAGACCAGTTTTGACCCCAGCTTCCTTTGGTAAGCACTAGTATCTCAAAGCACACAGACATGCATGCAGCATTAAGACTGAAGCATTTCATGTCTCCCACTACTCATTATTTCACCAACTACTGTCCCTGTTTTAAGTGTACTTTACCAAATACAATTGGATATTAGATGTTCTTATTTGCATAGGCTGGTCTGTCAGGTGAATCATAGAACGGTTTGGGTTGGAAGGGACCTTAAAGATCATCTAGTTCCAACCACCCTGCATGGGCAGGGACACCTCCCGCTAGATCAGGTTGCTCAAAGCCCCTGGCCTTGAACACTTCCAGGGATGGGGCTTCAACAACTTCCCTGGGCAACCTGTGCCAGTGTCTCACCACTCTCATGCTAAACCATTTCTTCCTAATGTCTGACATAAATCTTCCCACTTCCAGTTTGAATCTATTATGCCTTGTGCTCTCACTACAAGCCCTTGTAAAAAGTCCCTCCCCAGCTTTACCTTCTTTATCTTCACCACAAAAAATATTTCACTCCATTCAGATTCCTCTGACTCTTGTAGTACCCAGAGGACAAAGGACACATCTCTTCCATTATGCCAGAAATCAGCCTGGACGAGAAATTCAGCGCAATAATAGTGGAACAGATATGCCTTATTAATAAGGCATATTGTTGGTTGGCATACATCATCATCAACTGAAACCTTCACATAAAAAGATGGCACATAGCTTGATAATCACATTCAATAGGAGTAATGCCTAAGTACAGCCAGCAGAGAGGTCTGGTGCAGCCACACACCTCATGGCATGTTTTTTGACAAGCAGATCTGTATTGTAGTATGCAGTAACACAGAAACTAATTTCTAAGCAAAAGGGGAAGTTGCACATGAATGTGTTGCCTGCCATAGTCTTTACAAAAACATGAATTGCATTAATGTATTTTTTTTTTTTAAAAAGTGAAATTTTCATTACTTTTAAGTAAAACAAATTCTGCAAGGAAAAATAAGACTGATTTAGTACAAGAACTCCATTACCCTCTCCCCCCACTTAAGGATTTCAAGACAACATCCAAACTGTTTATCTTTTTGTTAATAATTGATGATTAAAGTCATTGTACTAGACATCTGCCTTTCCAAAATGAAAACTTCAGCATTCCAGTACCTTTCCTTGACAGAAAAATCCTTTTTGTCTGTCAAAGGAGAAACATCCTCCCACAGAGCTTGGTTTAAAATGGTAAAGCTTATCAAATGTGATTAATGCTTAATTAGCACTGTGTTCAAACTACTGAGGTTTTTTTGAGGTTTCTTTTTTTTTTTTTTTCTTTTTTTTTTTAATAGCTTCAAAAGACTAAGAAAGAACACAAAAGTACGTGGAGGAAAAGGTGATGATCAACAGTGATGCATCTTGCAATTACAGTATTAAGCATTAGTACCTTAGTAATCCTACCCCTCTTTTGAGAGGATCTTCAGAACTCTGCCACAGAAAAAAGGCAGACCTTTTTCTCCCAGAAAACAAGCACTCCCACTACTCCTGGGAGATTCTGGAGAAAACATGTCATTGTCTCTAGCAGATACTCTGTAAATGGAGAGGCTCAGCCTTCAGGCCACCACGTTTCCCTGTCCCCCAGCAGTTGCAGCCAGGACAGAGAAGGAACTGAGAGCCCTCTGGGACACCACGCAACTGGGAGCAGAATGTTTGTCTCAACAGCTCTCCTGGACTACGGCCCATTTCTTGCACAGGTCTGAGGAGTGCCTGGAGAAAACAGCAGGCTGCTCTGAATTAATCCCATGGTAGAAACTCAAGAGGCAGCTTCTCTCTCACAAGCATCTCTGACCCAGCAGGCAAGGAGCTATGAGTACCTACAAAGCCATGCTAGACATACAGCTGAACCAGCTGCATCTATGATTGTGTGTCACAAGCCAGAGTCTTATACATCACTTTTTCCTGCTATTGGAAGGTATATCATCTACATGGCCTGAAAGCTCGACTCCCACCAGTGTAACAATGAAGAAAAAGAAATTTATTTGCAGTAAAATGGTACACAGCACTTCCTTTTGAAAAAGAGTATTTGCTGTGCCACAAAGGAGCCCAGAAAGATTAATTTGGGAGCTTGCTCAGAAGCAGCAGGAA